TTGAACTGGGGACCCCAGTACTGCAAGGTAGGAGTACTAAGCACTAAGCTACTGCACTGCCCAGAGCTTACAATGCTTGACTGGTACACTGTTCACTTCTCATTGAGATTGACTATAATAACCACACAGACAACAAAGATACTTTTAACTGCATTGATACTTTATTATTTAAGTATCGGCCACAGCTTGATATCTATGAATAATGATCAATCAACCAATAAAACATATCTAACACCAAATCCCTTTTAGCAGTGCTGAGTGGTGTATCTCCACTTTTCTTCCTAAGCAGGAGCCAATTCAGCCCCCAGCCATCCAGGTTAGGCTCAGGCAGGGGCGGACTGACAACTCATGAGCCCCCGGGCAATAGGGGATAATGGGGCCCCTGTGTCCTTGCCCAAACTCAAAAAAGCCTATGAAAAAGGTACCAAGGGTATCTCATGGGGCCCCCTACTGACCCCGGGGCCTTGGGCAGTGCCCGAGTTTCCAAATGGTCAGTCCGCCCCTGGGCTTAGGGGCTTACTTGGGCCTCCTGCTACCAGTTCCACCGCCTCTACCAGCAACCTGCCACCTCAGCCTGCAAAAGGGATAAATGCCAGCTGTGACAAAAATACCACGTGACAACAAATATACATGACTGAAACCAATAATAACAAGTTGTCTCTTAATTATTTTGTATTTATTTATTCATTGCCCTGTAAGACAAAAATGCACTTTTTTTGTTTTTTTAATTTATGTATGTATTCTTTTTTTTTTCTTTCCAATTATTTATTGATATATTTATTCATTTATGTTTGTATAAATGTCATAAGCAAAGCCATAACAACAAAACCCAGGATCAAATACTAGGGCAGGGAGGGTGGGGAATTCTTTCTTCGTGGAAGGGCGCCAACTGGGTGACCAGGACTTAATGTGATGCAGGAGTCCCCTCCTTTTTCTTCTTCCTACCAATATTCTGCCACCACAATCCAAATCACGTCCCTTCACCATCCTACCCTTTTGCCATCACTTAACCCCTTTATTACCCTACAGACCAGTCGAAAGGACCGTCCCCAGTCATGATGCCTGCTGTGTTTATAACACAGGGCTTTGCTTTCATCCCTGTCTGTGCCTTCTTGTGCTGGTTCTTGTACGGCCATTACAGAAACTGGAAGAAAGGTAAAGAAAATCTCCATAATGGGGCCACAGACAGAAATATAAACTTGAAGGAAATCTTAACTCTGAACATGGGCTTTGTGAGATTACTTTCAATACATGACTAGCAGTGACTTGCCCAATTTAATTTTTGAGACCAAAATAAATCTTTTTTTTATTCCACTTTTAAAGATTCCTGCTCTGGACTTTACCTCTGCTGCACTACAGAACACCTCCCCCAAGCAGAGTAGAACTGAGTAGGGATGACATTAGGATTTTAGGACAGCGGCACCAATGTTGTCAGCCCACAATAGGAAGTTAGATATTCACTGGATTTCTAGTAGATCAACAAGTATATTTCTGCAGTGTTTAAGTGAGACAACATGGGGAAATGTGATGTACCGCACTTTGTTGTATATTACGCCCAGACTTACACTTAAAGGATAAGTTCACCTTTGGGAACATGTTACATTTTTTCACCCGTTTTTAGGGTAGAACATGTAACATGTTCCTAATGCTGCAGCCGTGCCTTCCATCTCCCTGCCCTCTGACAGATAAAACGGGGAGACGTTTCCCCATACTATCTGTCAGATTTTAAAACAGTGCAGCCATGCGGGGCTCCACCCACACGGCTGCGTAATTCATTCATGGACTTCCGTGAATGAATGAACTGCAAGTCCCGACATCCTTAGCGGCTGTGGGCTTGTAGCTTTCAATGAACTTAAATGAAACTTCCTGTCAGAATATCTGCTTGGCTATACATCCCAATCGGCAAGCAGACATTCTGACAGGTCTGCAGAAGACCTGCATGGCATCAGTGATCTACTGTTTGCTGGCGCAATGCTTTACAGGCTGCTGTAGACAAAAATAATAAATGCACATTTTTTTACCTGCAAAAAAATGTGCATTTATTATTTTTGTCCAAAAGGTGAACTTATCCTTTAACGTGACCAACCAAAGACCTCTCCAAACACACAAGAACGACAGTACCCTTTCATAACAGATAGCCAATAAAGCCCTTTTCAGATGTGATTAAACACAGGGAAAAAAAGAATAAGCGGTCACATCATATAGTGGACTCAGTGTAGAGCTATTCACCCTGAGGTCATCACAGAGGACAAGGGGGCACTCTTTACATCTGGAGGAAAAGAAATTTAATCTTCAAACATGGAAAGGTTTCTTCATAGTGAGAGCTGTGAAAATGTGGAATTGACTCCCTCAAAAGTTGGTTCTGGCCAGGTCAGTGAATTTCTTTAAAAAAGGCCTGGATTCTTTCTTAGATACACAGAATATAACTAGTTACTAACATTTATAGGTAAAGTTGATCCAGGGAATATCCGATTGCCTCTCGGGGATCAGGAAGAATTTTTTTTTCCCTACAGGAGCAAATTGGATCATGCTTTGCTGGGGATTTTGCCTTCCTCTGTATCAACTGTGGGTGTAGGATTATAACTTTTTTTGTTTTTGTTTTTAATGGTTGAACGGATGGCTTTTGGTCTTTTTTCAGCCAGACTAACTATGTGACTATTGCAACATCTAAGCAGGTGACCTGCCTAAATTTTTAAATTTTTTAATTTTAAAAAAAATAAATTTTTTTTTTTTTTTTTTTTTTAAATTTTTTAAATTTTTTTTTTTTTTAAATTATTTTTTTAATTTTATAAATTTAAATAATTTTTTTTTTTATTTTTAAAAAAACAACTGGATGGGCTTTTGTCTTTTTTCAGCCAGACTAACTATGTGACTATGCAACATCTAAGCAGGGTGACCTGCCGATTTCATTGCAATTTGCAAGACATCTGACACAGATGTCTATGCAAATCGCAACAAAAGTAGTGCATGCACTACTTTAGAAATTGGTGCAGCTCTGACCAAATCGGAACCGCACCAATATGACCACTCTAATAGTGGACAATAGGTTGCGACTTGGCATACGATTTGCAAGTCGCTTGGCATGCAAATCGCATGCCAAATCGCACCCGTTGGGGTGTAAAAGCACCACCAGCATACCTCTAAAACAGAGGTCTCCAAACTGTGTCCTTGGGGACTTTATCCAGCCCTTGGGACTCTATTCCATCTACTGACACCAACAATGGAGCATAATTCCTGTTACTGACACCACCGATGGGGCACAATTCCTCCAACTGACATCAACAATGGGGCACAATTCCATCCATTGACAGCAATAATGGGGCACAATTCCATCCATTGACAGCAACAATGGGGCCCTATTCCTTCCACTGACACCAACGATGGGGCACAATTCCTTCTAATTGACACCAAATATGTGGCACTATTCCCTCCAGTGACACCTATGATGGGGCACTATTTCTCCCACTGACACAAACAAAGGGGGAACTATTACTCCCACGGACTCAAATGATGGGACACTATTCCTCCCACTGACACCAACAATGGGGCATAATTCCTCCCAGTGACACAAATGATGGGGCACTATTCCTCCCTCCAAATACCAATGATGGGACACTATTCCTCCTACTGACTCCAAAGGTGAGCATTGTTTACATTCACTTATGCCAGGATATGTTCTACTCCCACTAACAACAGTCCAGCCCCCCTAAAGTCTGCAGGAAAGTAAACTGGCCCTTTGTTTAGAAAGTTTGGAGGTCCCTGCTATAGATGCACATTATTACAGCTTCTGAGCTTCTTTAAGGAAAAGCAAGAAAATTACAGAAAGGCAAGCTGTATGCCTCTCCTCTGGATTTCATATGGCTTAAAATGGCATAAAACCCAGGTGATTTTACTTTTTTTCATATGTTGATCCTGCCATTAAGTTATTTTTTCAACTTCCTTTACTAGACCAAGCTGTCCAGCAAAAGTGAAAGTTAGGGAGTTGAGACAAACCATTTGAAACATTAAAAGGGATTGTTGCAATGGTCAGCTTTAATTCATTTATGTAAAACCTTTATCCCAAAAGGAAAAAAAAAACTTCTTGCTGTAGTTGTTTTAATAGAGTTAGCTGGAGTTCAGCTTTAATTAGTTACTCATGTCCATTTAAACCTTTGTTACACCATGTTAGTCAAGTCCATTTACAAGTGCATCTATCACTATTTTCTCCCCAGATTGACAATGTTGCTGCGCAAGGATGTCTTCATTGCTACTAAATCGAGATCGGACACAGCCTAATGCGGGAAAAGAGTTACCGGTCAGATCACCAGGTAACAATAAAAAAATAATAAAAGGAAACCAATGTAGGAACACATTTAAAGTGGTTGTAAACCTCTGACATGAAATATGAACAAAGCATATCCCTATATAGTCTTGTCTCAATCCAAAGCACTAAGTGTCATTTCTGTCTGCTATCTGTATGAGTCACCTCTAACAAGTTTTTCAGACATTAAAACCACTTTCTTACTGCGCTATAGCTGAATGACAGCTACAATGCGGACGTTCAGTTCTGGGAAGGTGTCACATGACCGCGCCCCCCACGTGATGTGTCTGGTCTGCCTCAACTGATCATTGTGTAAATACACTTGCTGGTTACCAGCAGTACTTTCCTCACGCTATCACAGCGTGCAGATAATGTCAAAGGAGACATCTGCACTGATAATCAGAACACTGATTATCAGTGCCCTGATTGTCAGTGCAGCCCTAAAAGTGCCCAGCAGTGCTGCCCATCAGTGACCAGCAGTGCTACCCATCAGTACCCAACAGTGCTGCCCATCAGTGCCCAACAGTGCTGCCAATCTGTGCCTAACAGTTCCATCAGTCAGCGCTGCCAATCAGTGCCCTTCAGTGCTACCTATTAGTACCCATCAGTGCCACCTATCAGTGCCCAGCATTGCCGCCTATCAGTGCTCATCAGTCCCACATATCATTGCAGCATCATCAGTACCATCGATGCCCACCAGTGCTGCCTCATCAGTGCCCATCAGTGCTGCCTATCAGTGCCCATCAGTACTGCCTATCAGTGCAGCCTCATCAACGCACATCAGTGAAGCAGAAAAATTACCCATTTGCAAAATTTTATAATAGAAACAAAGAAAACTTTTTTTTCTCAAAATGTTTGCTCTTTTTTCATTTATAGTGCAAAAAATAAAACACCCAGGGGAGATTAAATACCACCAAAAGAAAGCTCTATTTGTGTGAAAAAAAAATGATAAAAAGTTCATATGGGTACAGTGTTGCATGACCGCACAATTGTCATTCAAAGTGCAACAGCACTGAAACATGAAAATTGTCCGGGGCAGGAAGGGGGTAAAAGTGCCCAGTAGGCAAGTGGTTAAGAGGTAAAAATGTAACAGGGAAGGGAGCTCCAGCACACAGCCTGTGATTGACAGTCTCAGCTCTGTTCCTGTGTTCTGTATGAAAGGGGTGTGTCCAGGGGCGGACTGACAACTCATGGGGCCCCCGGGCAATAGGGGATCATGGGGCCCCTGTGTCCTTGCCCAAACTCAAAAAAGCCTATGAAAAAGGTACCAGGGGCATCTCATGGGGCCCCCTACTGACCCCGGACCCTCGGGCGGTGCCCGAGTTTCCATATGGTCAGTCCGCCCCTGGATGTGTCCCTTCCCCCCAATCAGCTCTCACTGAGCTCTGCACAATGTAGCTTCTGCTCCCTGCCCTCTGCTTTCTGAAAGTCCAGACAGGCTGTATAAATTTTGCACATTGAATGGACATATACTGTAAAAGAGAAAACTGCAGATAAACAGGTAAAATGAATGTAAGAGAATGTGTTTCATCTCTGTGTGGAAGCTATCACTTTATTGGGTATATGTAAGGGTTTACAATCACTTAAGGGATTGGTAAACTGTTCTGCTGCTAGAATTTGCGATTTTAAGGCCGCGATTGGTTTTGGAATATCAATCTGCTGGCCATGGATTAAAATAAAATGAGGAACAACATAAACTTTATTTTTTAATTGACTTATGAAAGCTTGCCTATTCTTGAAATTATTATAAAAATGTTCTTCCTGCAAAGCAAACAGTGAATGCTTACCTCTTATACTTACAGTGAGACCAACCACTGCAGTAGCAATGATAAATCACCAGCTGAAGATCCTGCAGAATCATACACTTCCAGGAATGTCAGATTCCAGGTTCTTCACTGTGCTTTGATCTGCTGGTCCCTGCGTCAATATCGTCTGCTGTAATGATGTAGGGCTTGGGTGTCAAATTGGCGGCCCTCCAGCTGTTGCCAAACTACAACTCCCATGAGGCATTGCAAGATTGACAGTTACAAGCATGACTGCTAAACGCAGAGGCATGGTGGGATTTGTAGTTTCACAAGAGCTGGAGGGCCGCCAGTTTGACACCCCTGATGTAGGGGTTGACAGGAGGAAGGCACAGTCAGGATTTTATTATTGTCTGTGTCCCCATTAGAATAGCCATCTCTTTTTGTCCTGGTGATCTTTGTCATTAAAGCAGAAATCCAGAATTTTAGAGATGTCTCTAGAACAAAAGGTGAGGGGAAATCTTTCAAAGGGCACTCCGGTTCTGTTGACAGCTATCCAAGGGAGGATTTACCCTCACTTTGTAGAGATTTCCTCTCACTTCCTGTTGTGAAGGGAATTCTCCTAAATGGTTATACAGACGGCAAAAAATAAACTGGCAGGGATTGTAACCTTTCTGTTACCTCTCTATTACTTTTCTGGGGACATCTCAAAATTTGGGATTTTCTTTTACTTTCAATGATAATGGTAAACAGGAAAATATAGAGGATGAATCTACTTAACGGGGGGCAAGGACAGCAATAAAAACTTGACAAATAACGGGGGGCAAGGACAAACTGATAAAAACTGTTCTCATTATTATTATTATACAGTATTTATATAGCGCCAAAAGGTTTGCTCAGCGCTGTACATTATAGTGGGGGACAGAACATGAGACAATACAGTAACAAAACAGTACACGACAGTTCTCGTTCCCCTGCACTCGATCCAGAACGAAAAAAAAAAAAAAAAAGTTGGGATTTTAGTTTAACTTTTAAGCTCTGCCAAATTGTAATTCAGAACTTTTTAAATTGCTCATCCTGTATTCAGGTATGTTCAGGTATTCAGGTATTTTAACATCCATGCTTACAACTTCAAACAGGTTTACAGCTTTGGGTTTTTTAAAATGTATTTTTCATTACAGCTTTTTTTTGCTTTTTTTTAATGTTATATTGTGAAATTGAGAGCAGATCATAAATTGTCACTTTTTTACAGTGATGGCCAGTAAAGGTTCTCCCTCATCTGTCGTATCCCTGTATCCCTGCGGTAAATGATTTCCCCTACTGAGCTGAAGACAACAACACTACAATTTTTTCTCAGTGGGGTCTAATTGTGCCGTCTCTGTTGTACTATGTAGGACTCAGCATGGGGCTACGCAAGCGAGGTTTCAGATCCAGTGAGTGAATTGTTTAGGGAACAACTTAGTTCCCGGTGGAGACAAACATAGGGGCATTGGTTAAAACACAAGTTTGCAGCAAGACAGTATACAAGTGTGATGTTATAAACCAGCAAACAGATCTTGAGGGTGACTATAATAACTGTATAATAGCTTTTTGGGCATCTTAAAGCATACAATTTCATTTTATAACATGTGGAATGAAAATATTTTTTACATTTTGGTCATAGATACACTTTAGAGCACAGGTGTCAAACACAAGGCCCGCAGGCCAAATCCGGCCCTCCAGGCCATTTCATGTGGCCCTTGCACGTCTCCTGCAGGTACCCCCTCATCTCCGCCCTCACCTTGTCTCAGCAGTCGGCAGCAGAGAGGAGAACTCCTTTGCCAAATCATGCACCTCTAAGTGCAGCAGCAGCACCCCCTCATCTCTGCCTCCCCTGGTCCGTGCATTCAGCAGACTCTGGTAACTGACTCCACTCCTCCTCTGGTCCTCCTCCAGACCCTGCACTTTCTGCTTTCCAGCTCTGCCCCCAAAGGGGGTACATGGTAATGTTAGGGAGGGTGTGGGATTCTTGACATCTGATGTAATGGGGGGGTGGGGTGCTCTGGACATCTAGTCTTACAGATACAACCAGCCCTTTGAGGGAAATCATAATGCTGATACGGCCCGTGATGAAATGGAGTTTGACACCCCTGCTCTAGAGTATAACTAAAGATAAAACATTTTTTTTTTTAGTGGATAGAGATGAAAAGGATCAGAACACCTGTCAGGCTTTTACTGTTGTCTGCTCTCCTGTGAGCCCTGATTAACACTAATGCGGTGCAGGAAATTCAACGAATCCTGTGCCTTTCCCGCACTGCAGTGCAATCGCACCGCGTCCGTGCGATTGGCTATGAGTGTCAATGTTAAACTAACAACACCCCAAAACAGATTGCCACACGCAATGCGATTACCAGAATTGGCCTACTCATGCAATGCAAATCAGGTGCAGGGAAAAAAAAGGGTCCTGCACTTTTTTGGTGCGGATGCAATGCGATTTGAGCCATACAAAATGTATGGCTCAAATCGCACAACACAGACATCGCGTGTGATTTGCACAGGAATGCAGTGAGGTTCCTGTGCAAATCACATGCGATGTGCTGCGCCGCATTAGTGTGAACCAGGGCTTAAGGTGATTCATCCTCTCTGTTTGTCCTGTTTACCATTATCATTGAAAGTGAGAGTTAAAGAAAATCCCAAATTTTGGGTTGTCCCTAGAAAGGTAATTGAGGGAAAATCTTCCTATGGGGACACTAGTTCTGGTGACCTGGGGGTCTCCAAGGGATTTCCTTAATTTGCAGGGATTTCTTCTCACTTCTGGTTTGGCTATTGGACAGGAAGTGAAGGGAAATACCCAAAATGGGACACAGATGGTGAAAAAAAAATCTGATGGGGTTAAAACCCTCCCTTACTCTATCCAAAACGAAAAAAAAAAAAACGTTTTCTTAAAGTTCTACATTAACCATTTGCTGCTGTCAAGGCCAGTTTTGCATTTTTTTTGTTGACATGTTTAAAAATCATTTTGAAGATTACACATACCTGCAAAACAGTATGTATTTTCTGAAAGCAAACACAATAGAGAATAAAATAGTGGTGGTTCTAATTCATGTCAAACAATATTACCTCAATGGTTTAGGAAATACATCATTTCAGTAAAAAAATACACTAAAGTTAATTTTAGGGCACACAAATGCAATCAATTACCCGTTTTTTGGTAAAATACAAAAGTTGAGGTTGTGCCAAGTAAATAGATACCCGACATGTTACACCTTGCTTTATAAGCCTCTACAGGTCATCAGGTTAGAATTAACCATGAATAATGGGCCTAGAATTACTGCGCGGTGATATGTAACGTGTAGCACAATCAACATCTTCTTCTGTAGGAGCCCCTGACACATGCATTTATGTGTAACCCCTTGACGCCAGCGCCTCCCGGTCCTTTAAGGGTTTCAGAAGCGGGAGGCGGGGCGGGGTTTAGGGTCAAGTGACCGCCATGACGCCATGATTGGGAAAGGTTCCAATTGAAAGAGTAGATCGAGACCTTTCTGTGAGTACTGGACATGTGTACTGGAAGCACGCAGGGCGCGCACTCTCAGCACATATGTTCTTTTTTAATAGAACGCAAATGTGCGGCCACTCTACGTCTAGGACCAGAGGCTGGGAGGCCGCACATTTGCGTTCGACCAGCGTGAAGAGGTTAAACGTGTATATGTCAGGGTAGGGGAAATAACATTTTTTGAGGGGTAAAATTTTTTGGTAGAATTTTAATTTTTTACACATTGTTTAACATTTTTTTTACTAAACATTTTTTTTTCATCACATGGGAACAAAAATTTCTTTATGTGATGCATTTTTTGGTGATAGTTTCTCTTTAATGAGGCATCAGGGGTCTAAAAGACCTTCAGAAGCTGTGTGAAGCTGATAGAATGTTTAATTTGCTTTTTCCCTAGCCATACTGGCTGGGAAAATGATAGGGGGATCCAGAAATGACATTTTACATATCCCTTCCAGGTTAGTAACAGGAGGAGGAGGCCAGTAAAAGGAC